TGGATGCCGGACCACCGGAGTTTTACTATATTATTAATAATTCGCGGAGTTAAAATACAAGATCTGTGGATCCTTGGTGGTGTAGTTTTACTTTAAAATGTTATGCCTTTTTAGGTGTCTGAATGCACTCCTTATGTAGCTTTGGAAGTTTTCTGGAATGGATTAGTTATCATTTGCAAGATTTGCATTACAACCACCATAGGACTATATTAAGCTATGGTCAGTCTGTATTTCAGATATTCTTAATAAAAATAGGCCCTACAAGAAATTTAAGAAGCCTTTTTGTTCAAGATTTGTTGGGGTTTTTGGGGAGAAGGGAAGTGGCCACAAACATGGGCTTCTACAAAAGGGCTATAGACCAATTTGAATTTGAATAATATACCTTCTCCACCCCAATGGGCAATAGGGAGTGACTCAACTTCTCTCCTAGAATGGTACTTGTTACCTAACTGACATTCTTAAAAAGACAGTGCAAACCATATATTCCTTTTTAAAAAGAAATATATCAAATTTCTCTTCATGCACATTTTCTACATATTTTTTTTCACCAAGCCTTAATTCTCATGCTGAAAGCAAGCATACAAAAGCCCTAATGGGTTAATCTTGACTGATCATTACTATTAAAGTTCTAAGGCTTTGTGTACAGATTAAAAAAAAAAAGTTATAAATGATTCCTTTAGAAGGACTTCTTTAAAACACAAAGTAGGGCTTTATAAAAACCTTACGACTACGAAACATTGCTAGTACATTGTCTCCATGATTATTCTACTTACAACCAGATTGTAGGCACGGATAGTTTTGTCTGCTGAGCAGGTGTAAAGCACATTCCCAAAAATCTGAATAGCATTCACTGCAGCTTGATGCCCCTCAAAGCTCCCCTCCGTAGGTTCTTCATCCTCACCTGGCTCTGAAGACACTTCTACAGAATGAAGGGTTATCAAAGCTTGTTTTTCAACAATCAGCATGTTTTAGTCACACAAAAGCTTTGCATAAGTAATGACTCCTCATATTATTGATAGTCATCACCTTTTCAAAAAGCTCTACAAGAAAAACAAACAACTAAAAAAATGTAATAGAGGTGTAGCCCTTTAAGAGCAGGGGTGGTCAGCATGCCTGTTATGAGGCCTTACTCCCTTTAAAGTAAAAAACTAAGTCATAGTTCTCAGAGGGAGCACATTAATGACAGAGGGGTCATGTGACTGCCTAAAGAGTTATAAAAGCAGACAGTCTTCTCTCAGTAAGATGCGATGGCCAGAAGGTGTAAGTAAGATGGCTGAGAAACCTCTCCACAATAGTCCAGAGAAGAAGTCTGGAAATGAAGCTGAAAACAGGGCTTAACCTGCAAAGGCTAGCAGCAGAGAGGGCAGAAAACAGCTTGCTGGGGAAGTTCTTTAGAAGACAGACAGGTAATAGTTACCTGAGGAAACAGGAAAAGGAGCCTGGGTAGGGTCTAGCAGAGGCCTGTTTAAAGAGAATCTGGGGAATGGCCTGCACAGACATCTCCAGGATGACAGTGAAAGTAGTGGCACTTAGGGCTGGCCATTCTCCATAATTTAAGGACTGTGGCTGGAGCCAAGAAAAGGCAACAGTGAGCAAAATCCCAGCACCAAAAGGACTATTCAGCATATCCTTAGGTTTGAAAGACTGCTGAGCTCAGATGAGGGGTAAAAGGTGAAATCTACCCCAGCAATCAGGTACATGAGCTGGTGAACTGACCAGTAAGGCCTTGTCCCATTTTAGCATTTGGACTACAGGTTGAATCACTCTAGTCTGGCACTCTTTAGGGATGTGATAGTATAACTGATGAGCCTGGACTCATCTGTTAACCTTCTTAGTTACATGCAACACGCTCCCCCTCCTCTACCCCCTGCCTCTGTATCAGAGGCAGCAGCAGGGAGAAGAAGGGGGAGGGCAGGTGGGAGCCAGTTCGCATGGGGAACCAGCTTTTAAGCCAGCTCCAGGCAGCAGCATGGAGCAGGGCGGGGGAGGGAGGAGGGAGAAGAGAGTGCAATGCAGCTCTGCGGCAGCAAGTACGTGCAGGGAGCAGGCTTAAACGCCAGATCCCCATGCATCAGTTCAAGGGGGCACGCTTCCCCTCCCCCATTTGTAAACATGAAACCTCCTAAAATTCCAGCAGTTTCACACTTATCTGAATATACACATTTTAACATCCCTAATTCCTGGTCCAGCAACATCTGAGCTGGAATAATTTTAGTTGGCTGGATGTCCACTTCTCATGGGTGTGGCCAAGTTTCTTGCGGTCCCATAATATTTGTTCACAACCACAAGTCCTGTCTCTTGGTGTTCTGTGCTGTTATTTAGCTCTAATTTACCCCTAAATATCTTTTAAAAGCCCAGTAAGCAGTGGAAGTGTTGCTAATGCTGCTAGACAATACTGACCTCCCGTGGCTTGGCACCAGTCAAGTCCTGAGAGTTCCAGACTAGAGAAGTTCAACCTGCTGTTTATCCCCAGAAGAGTTACATAAACTAAAATTCACCCTACCATCCAACAGGACTTGTGGATCAGAGGGGAAACAGGCACCTTTGGAATCCACTTTAACCCAAAATTCCAGAAGAGATTCAATACCCATTTAAAATGGCAAAGCATAATGACAAAATACCTGAGGAATTCTTTGAGCCTTTCACCGAAGATGCAGAAGGGAGATTCTCAGCCACGCTGCAAAAAATATTCAGGAAAGATAGTGAAATATACATAAGCAAAGAATTTCAGCGACAGCCAGAATAGGATATTTTATCAGATATATTGTAGAAAAAGTATGATAGCCCTCTGTGGGCTATGAAAAAAAGCTCACTGCTAACAGCCTTATGCACTTTTCCTCAAAGAAAAAGGAAAATGTCTTAATTAATGCAGAAGTTAGTATAGAACAGTGCATGAACACTTTTGTATGCACATGAAGAATTTCAGACATATAACTAGCAGCTTGTATGGGGATAAATATTAATCTTTGCTCATTTCAGTGCTGAAAGCCCTGAGGAATGAGATCTGCTCCCACGTCTACATGTTTTAAGCTTTTCACACAAGGAAAGAAAAGGCTCTTGCAAAATTTTCATGCCAGATCTACTTTATGGTAAGTAATCTGTACTGATCTACTATAATCCATTTTTGCAGCTCACCTTCTATTGATGCCATCCATATAATTAGTACCAATCTCACTGGTAGAGCTCACTTCATCATAACCAGAGCGAAATGCCTCTACTGAAGTTTGCTCTGAGGATCTCTTGGTGTCTCTCTTGGATGGGCTGTCTGGTTTCTCATCTCCTGACTCTGAAGAGGTGATGGCCACCACTTCTGATTGAGGGTTTGTAGTTTCTACTAATTCCAGAGAGGCATCACTTTCATCATCATTTTTGTTTCTCTCTACTTCACGAGTAGCGCCCCCATCCTCCTGTTTTGGAAAGGTAGATCTAATAACCTTTCTTGCTGTGGGCACCTTTCCACTCTTGACTTTCCTAATAGGTTTAGAGTCAATAACATCCTGTTCTGTGTCACTGTTCTCAGGCACATGGGCTGCTCGCAGAGTTTTCTTCTTCCTTAGCTTTTTCCTTTTCTTTTTTCCTTTGTTCTCTGAAGAGATCAGAGTGGACTCTGCCTGTTGTTCAGGCTGTTCTGCTGGTAGTTTAGAAGCTTTGCCCAAAGATACTTTTAAAGAATGAGAATGATTTGAAAGGGAGCTGCTACACTGGTCAAGTAAGGTACTTTCCTGGGTTTCAATCACCCCTTTTTTGTTGACAATAGATGGCGATTGTGAAGAAGGATTCCCAGATAGTATGGTCCTCCCCTTATCTGTAGCAGGCTTGTGAACATCTTGATTTGTCTGTTGGAAACAAGTAGTCAGCTCTGACAGGGACATAATTGCAGAGATAACTGGGTACACTGAGGTTTTCTGGCTGGTATCTACTGAAGAAAAGAAGAAATGAAAATAATATTCACTCTGCTATAATTATTTATGCCTAGATCCTCCCCGCCCCCCAGCTTTATTAAAAGTGAGCTGCAAGAATTATTACAATCTGTTTTGAAAGTGTACAGCCATGACATACCTGGATGTTTAAAACTAGAATTTTTTTTAATATCTAAAGAAATGCACATACAATTTGTATTCATTATGCAAGCCTTATCTGTTTTTTATTTTTAATTAAGGCCAATCAGCTATTAACATTTTTTAAAGTGTCATTTGCATGTCTTGGTGGAATTCACCTTAAGAACAAACTTACCTGGAAGCAAAATGCACTCGCAACAGATATATAATTTTTTATGTTATCCCTATAAGAATAGTTATGAAATTAAAAGAACTGAAGTTAGCTTAAGAAGATAATGTATATGGTTTATGGTTTGTGGCTAGTATGGAAAAGGCCACAATCAGCTAGTAAAAGAATGTCCTGAGAATAAGTAATATTATATATTACTAACAGTGTTGAAAAGGTGTATGGTTCAAAGTAACTGAATAGTGAAATGGTCAAAAGAAATAAGTATAAACCTTCCCACTGTTCTGCTGGTAAGCAAGGAGGCAGGAAGGAGATAAGAAAGGAAAAATCTTGGAAGAAGAAAACCAACAAGGATAATCTGCTTCAAATTGGATTTTTGCTAAAGCTAGTAAATTAGCAGAAGTTTGTTAAAAAAAAAGCCAGGAATCTTTGTCAGACCCACACCTGATCATGTTCAAGCACACTAGAATGAGAGACGTTTCCCCAGAAACAAAAATCCAGCTAGAGACTTTCTTCCTGGGACTCACCCTGAAACCTACCCAAGAGGCTCCAAATAAATTATAGGTTTGAGTGATTTTAGAGCTGCCCTTTCTTATTTCTGAAACAGCACTGCAATAACTGGTGGACATAACTTTTGTCATATTTTATTTTCCGATCATGCAGCACTCACTGCACCACCACTATCAGTTCCCATAGAAAAAGGCAGAATGGGAATGGACTCCCCAGCATACTCAGGAAGTGAATAAATTAAAGGAGGCTTTAGCACTCCAGTTCTTAGTACTTTACATTACACAAAACCTTTTGGATTGTTTGTAGCAACCAGAGACACTATCATTTCACCTTTGTTAACTCAGGTATCACAAAAAACTTAAAAAAACAACAAATAGTCTAGTAGCACTTTAAAGACTAACAAAACATGCAGATGGTATCATGAGCTTTCCTGGACACAACCCACTTCTTCAGATGACAGGAGTGTTGGAAGAAGACAGTGAATAGGGTCCGCTGTAAAACTAAAATGGCAGAAGGATGAATTAAAGGTAGTATCTGAGTTTGGACATGCCATTCCTTCTTTAAACTTGGATCTTGAAAATTTAATGGCCAAACTTCTGAATAACTTGTTGATATGCAACAACAAAACAGGAAACTGTAGCAGGGAATTGGCTGCCCCCTCCTGGGGGGGGAACAAACATTAAGGCCTTGTTTACACTTACCAGGAAACCGGCTCTGGGCTTGAACTACCAGGGGTCGATTTTGCAAGTCTAAATCGACTGCTGATTGCACTCCCAACTCCAGTACTCCACCAGATCAAGAAGAGTAAAAGGCATAGACAGGAGAGTTTCTTAGGTCAGCCCTCCCATAGCGGAGATGCCATGGTAAAGCGAACTAAGATAGATACATTGACTCCAGCTATGCTATTCACAGCTGGAGTTGCGTACCACAGTTTGACATTACCCCCTAGTACAGTCCTAGGTTTAATGTGGGATTATATACATGGTAGAGACTGCTGTTCCAAATGTTGGTCATTCATCAATGTAATTTAAATGCTCAATACAGTAAAATCTACTTACATATGCAGGCTTTAAGTTGGGGAATATAGGGATAATTATGAAATTTAAGTAATTAAAGGTAGCATAAGTATGGCTAAGAAAATAATATATATATTTGGTTTGTGACTGGTACAGAAAAGGCTGGGTAAAAATCAGCAGGTAAAAAATGCCTATGAGAAAAAGTAATATTAGTGTCAGAAAAATGAAGGGTTCAAAAACTAACCCATCACATGAGAAGCTGGAGTAAGAAGACAAAGAAAAATTGTCAAAAGAAAAACAAAAATCTTCCAACTGTTTTGTTGAAAAGGAAAGATGGGGGAGATTGAAAAAAAAAAAAAAAAAAGACAAACTGCTTCAAACTAAGTTCCCTCTAAAACTAACTAACAAGTAAGCTGAAGGTAGAGAATCTTCTACTTCGTGGCTTTTTGTCAGACCCTACTTGGTCATGCTGGAGCACCACAGGATGAGACAGTTTTCCCTAGGTCTGGCCTATCTGCAAGTCTACAGGATCATATGCTCATCAATACTTTGGTATCATATTGGGTGTAGTTTGTAGGTTGTCAGTCATGTTTAGAGCAACTGTATAAAATACCATTTGACCCTTGGACTTAAAAAAAGGAATTTATGTTTAAATCAGTTTGCTGGTCTTCCACATTAATAATTTCAAATACAATTCAATTACAACAATCGCTCTTCATGCCACACACGAGAGGCTCTCACCAGAAAAGAGACGGTAACAGCATTAAAAACAAATACTTCTCTTTAGAAATATCTTTCAAAAGAGGCACGCTAAAGCTTCTGCAACCTGGGGATATGAAAGGTTAACTGGTTCTGGTTAACCAGTGAGAGCTGGAGTAGCTCCCTGCCCACTGCTGGTGGGGAGCAAGGGAGGAGGGCACTCCAGCCCTGCAGGGTCCGCTGTGGACAATTAAACGGGATTTTACATCCCTCTAATGCAACCTGCCTAAAAAACTGACAGTTTTCAGACCAGACATGATGGTATGCAGCTGATTCTTTGGAACGACCCTTCAAACTATTCTATTTAAAAAGTGTGCTACAATCGGCTATTCCAAGCTAATGTTATAATTAAGGCTTCCCTTTAGGAAACTGTCGAGAAAAGAGCATATTTATCAAATTAATGAATAATTTAAATGATTTCTGATCACTACTAATATAAACATGCATATTCCTCTATATAGAATAAATATAGAAGCAGGATTTAAACAGTTGGGACCTTATCATATTAGGACATTGGGCTGGCAAGGATGCATGGAATATCGTTAAATTCACATCCTATATATAACTAGTATAAGCCAAGATTCCTACTCCCATTTACCTACCCCATTAGGGGAAATAACCTCAACTGCTTTTATCAGTGTTCTGATTCCTACCATTAAAAAAACAAAAACAAACAAACAAACAAACAAACAAACAAACAAAAAACCATTCTGGTCATGACATATTTAAAATCTTTGATTAAAAAAAAAACAAAAAAAAAAAGTTTTCTAATTTAGAGTGTGAACACAAATCTGTAGCTATTTTCAAACGGGGATTGATGAAATAAAGGGCCGTGTCTACACTGGGCCACTTATTCCGGAAAAGCAGCCACTTTTCCGGAATAAGCTGCGAGCTGTCTACACTGGCCCCTTGAATTTCCGGAAAAGCAATGACGATCTACTGTAAGAAATCAGCTGCTTTTCCAGAAAAACTATGCTGCTCCCGCTCGGGCAAAAGTCCTTTTTCCGGAAAACTGTTCTGGAAAAGGGCCAGTGTAGACAGCACAGTAGTCTTTTCCGGAAAAAAGCCCCGATCGCGAAAATGACGATCGGGGCTTTTCCGGAAAAGCGCGTCTACATTGGCCACAGACGCTTTTCCAGAAAAAGGGCTTTTCCAGAAAAGCATCCTGCCAATGTAGATGCTCTTTTTCCGGAAATACTTATAACGGAAAACTGTTCCGTTTTAAGCATTTCCGGAAATTCATGCCAGTGTAGACGTAGCCAAGGTGTTTGCTTGCTATCCCTATTAGGAAACTACCAGTATTATAGAACTTCCTGAAGAGGTGGTAAAGAGAAATTAGGGAAAGGAGCATAGCGGAGTTGAATTAAAGAATGCCAGACATAAATCTATGAAATGTGGGCAAGATATCCACTGGCAAATCTCTGTAAAATGTATTAGCTCACAGCAATTTGTCTAGTGTTGTGGCAGTTGCTCATTCGAGCTCTTTGTGTGCGCATGCATGAGATACAGAGAGACTGCAAACAGAAGTTAGTTTAACAAATATCAATCCAAAAGATTAGACTTAAATGTACCAAGAGAAAGTGTAGGAAGCATACAACTGAAAGGACTGAAGTTACTGAAACAAGTCTCCTAAAGTAAAATGTAAGCATTACAAAGAGTTAAGCAGCAAGATTCATGCTCATCTCAAAATGTAAAAGTATCAGTTTAATCCAATCCTTCAACTTGTGTCACTGAACCAGTCATTGAAGCTCATAATCAGAGCACTGAATTTGAAGACAGACTTTATGCCATTGCAGCTACAGCAATCAATCACTTAAAAAACTCTGTTCCATACTCTCCATCAGCTCAACATTAGCTTCCTGTAGGAGCAGTTCTTTGGTTCATCTTTGATGCCCCCCCAAAATGATGAAAATCACTATTTACACCATTAAAAATGGAAAGACAAGAACTTAACTTGATAAGGCAGAAGCACCCTTGCTTTGGGTTCATCACCACATTCAGTGTAAAAGAACACAAGCAATTTAATCTAACAATTGCAGTACTTTGCCTGGGATATATATTTTCTATATATTATTTATATCTACAGGTCCCCTACTTGTTGTTACATGTGAAAAAAGGAAGATATGAATGAAATAAATATAGCCACATTAAGGTAACATGATTGAACTTTAAAGAGTATTATCTGTAGCAATCCATACTAGGAAAAAATAACCTAAAACTGCAAAAAGACCATTGACTCCTCTGTTTTATTTACAAAAGTTTAAATTTTAGTCTGGTCAATATATGGCTTATGAGAAATAAATAGGGTTATCAAGTATGACACATACAATGTTTGATTTAACAAAAAACCCCAAAAACAAAACAAAAAAAACCACCACACCCCGCTCGTGGGTTTCTTTCATGGAGATTTCCCTAGGCTGGGAAAATGAAAGGTCAAACATTGGCTAAGTGTGTGTTAAATCCCAGACTAGCCCAGGTAGAGACCTAGGGTAAGAGTTGCAGAAAAATGCCTACATTTCATTGAAAAATAATTATGACTGGAAAATTTAGGTTCCTTGGGATTAAATCCCTTTCAAAAGCAAAGTACTGCTCAGGAGCTTGTATGGAACTATTTTGTTTTAAAACTTTATAAACAATCTATCACAGTAATTCCAATTACACTCAAGATTTCAATTTTTCAAATATAATCTTTATCCTGCTAGCACTTAAACTGTATTCATGTTAGTAGTCCCATTCATTACAATGAGACAACTCATGCTAATAAAATTAGGCATGTATGTTGACAGCATCAAGGCAATACAGAGAAAAAAAATAATACCAGTCATGTAATTCAGACTTCAAGTAGTGCAAAGAGGGTAGTATTAATTATAAAATTTCTGAATCTAGTTAAATCCCACTTGCAACTCAAGAGTAATGGGGTTGGAAAAACTAAAAATCCTCCAAGCTGGCTGTGATACTGCTAGCAGTTCGGAACATGGGTGGGATGCTTACTTGGAGACAGGCTCCTAAAGGGATAACAAAATAAAAAGGTAGCTCAAGTCTGCTACTAATTAAGGCCCCAATACTGCAAAATGATTACTGTGGCTTAAGTCAATGGGGGTGGGTCCTACAAATGCAAAGCAGCTTGCAGTTTGAAGCCTAAATAACTTTTACTCTTTCAACAAAATGATTTTCCCCTTGGTCACAAACTAGTTTGTTAAAAAGAAGATAAACCAACATACCATCCTTTTGCTGCAGTCCTGCTTGTGGAGCGCACTCAGAGCCATGGAACACAGTATTCATGCTTTCTTCTCCATGCTCTGGTGACATAGGTTCTTGTTTAATTTGCACTGATGAATCAGGAATAGTACCCGCTGTGATACTATTAGGGGTCTGGAACACAGGCGGGGTGCTTACTCGGAGAGAGGCTCCCAAGGGGATACCAGAAGGGGATATATGGGAGGAGACGCATGAGGAAGTGTCCAGAAGGGGGAGGAAGTGACTTGATGATGGAACAGATAAATCAGCTGTTGTATCAGATCTGCTAATTCTTCTTTCACGTGAGATGCTGCAGGTGAGCTGATCTGACCTCTCAGAAGGTTCATAGGTTTCTAGAGAAAGAAGGAACAAATGCTCATATGTTATATGTTTAGGGAAGTTTGGTTTTAAGCAGCTCTAGAGGAAATAAATGGAGCCAAGAAAGAAAAGATTTCAAGGAAGAGCCACTGCATGACACTCCTGAAAATTGTGGGATCAAAGCTGAATAGTAGGAAGGTTTTACAGTGGAACACAGGAATAGCATAACAAAACTGGACATGGGAAGCGTACTAAGTTGTACAAACCTATTCTGAACTTTTATGAGCAAATTCAAAGCGAAGCTAAATGAAAGATCAGCACACAAGCTTAAGCTTACAGAGTACTGGTCAGAATGCCAGTGCTGCAATTCCAGTACCTTGTAGCCCCTGCAGGATCTGAATTCTCTGACTCCTCAATGCACTCATCTCCATTGTTATCTGTGGGGGAAAAATAGTGACTTAAATCATCTCTATCACATGAAACTGAAGGGTGCTAGTTTCTAATTTACACAACTCAAAAAGCCTGCAGTTACCTGCTGTTTTAATACAAGGAACCGTTGAACATCAACATAAGCTGCCTGGAGAGCAGCCCGAGCTGTCAAGAGATCGCCATCCACACAATGCAGTGACTTGTTCAACTCTTCTTCTCTCAGGGAAATAGACAACAATTGGTCTACCTGAGAACGCTCTGCAAGAGAAACAGGCATAATTGAGGGTACGTCTAGACTACATGCCTCTGTCCAGACTATCGCGCTGAGCCGACAAACAGCTGATCAGCCGTTTGTCGGCTCAGTGCGGCAGCCATGTAAATTTAAATGAAGCAGCGATTATTTAAATCGCCGCTTCATTTTCCTATGTCTGGTAGCCTAATCTACATGCCTCTGGCGACAGAGGCATGTAGTCTAGACATACCCTTAGAGTGCAGTTCATATTATACAATGCATTTTTAGAGACATCATAGTAAAATTTTTCGTATCACAGCATTAAGCAATGAACTCATTAAATCTCTCATGATGAACCAGAAGTGACTGTCAACATGGGGATGTCAATATGTAGACAACTACACAATTAACCGACAAGTCTGGGCTTATCGGTTCATCCTATCAATTACACACACTACTCTCCCTTTGCGGCCCCTGTCTCAGGAGGCGGGAGCTGGGGCCTGAAGGAAGCCAGCTTTTAAAAGAGGCAGCAGCATGGAGGGTGAGGGGGGCAGGCAGGAGCCAGTTTAGGTGGGAAGTCAGCTTTTAAGCCACTTGCCCGCACATATCGGCTCCCATGGAACTGCTCTACCTCCCTCCCCCCGGCACCAGTGTGGAGTGGAGAGGCAGGAGCCCCGGCCCCCTCACTGAGGCAGCAGGGGTGGGCACGGGGGTCAGGGGAGGCCGCTCTACAGGATGCTGGCACAGCCTCTGTCTGCGAGGAGCTCGAGTCCCCTGCAGACTGGGGTTGCTGCCATGGAGCAGCCTCTGACCACTGGGAGCCTAGGCCACCCCGCAGATAGGGGCTATTGCTGTCCTGCACTGCTGCCTCTGTATCAGTGACAGCAGCTGGCATGCGCTGGGAACCAGTTTTTAAACTGGCTTCCCTCACAGACTAGCTTCCGCCTGCTGCCCTATATTGCTGCCTCTGATATAGAGGCGGCAGCACAGAGCGGCAGGGGACTTCCCTGGGAGTGCACTAGCTGCTGGCCCTGCCCCCAGGGACTATCGAATAATTGTGTAACCACTACGTTTTGATGCAGTTACACAATTATTAAATTAATCAGTATCTAACATCCCTAGTCAGTAATCCAACAGTAGAGGAAGCAGATTGGAAGAATGGAGCCACTGCCAAAAGGCTGCAGAAGAATGCTATAGGCGGGGCATTTTGGCCCTAGTTCCCTGGAGTTTTTCCTGGGAAGAAATCTCATTGGTACTCCCAGGTTTCTATACAAGGTACAAAAGTTGATGCTTCCCTAGACAGGAATCAATTTCATCTGCTTTTTAGTAAGACCAATAAAGTGGGGGAGTCCAATTGCATATCAGGATGGAGGATGACCCAAATCCAAAAATTCTGCCATCAGAACTGGCTCCCATCGCCCTGACATGACAAAAAATATGCTCCCATTTAGTAATGTGGGTGGCAGTCACATCACAAAAGCTTTCTCTTTTGAGGAATGCAGGCTAATGAGAATAGCATTTCTTGCTAGTAGACTACAACACTTTGAGCATCATCATCATGCATTAGATGAAATCAACATTCAATCAATTTAGTCTCAAAATTCTTTCAAAGAAGGTCCATTTGCTTCTTATAGTAGGGAAAAATTAGGCCAAAAAAGTGATATGATTTTCTGTGACAAATTCACACAGAAAATGTGCAGGACCAGAACTAAAACTCTGATATCCTGACTCCAAGCCATATGACTTAAGCCAACCTTCCTCTCTGTGAGATGGAAAATACCATCTCAGGTCCTGGAATAAGATTCCAAAGGGAGACCAAAATGTTTTACAAAAATACTTAATTCAGCTTTTGATAGTATTTAGCCTAGTAACAATTTTACTTTACTACATATTTATATAAAAAGAAACATTAGGAAAACTTCAAAAGTAGATCATAGCTCACACTTTTAGATTGTGAGAGCAAAAACAGTCTAAGGAAGTCATCTTACACAACAAGAACACACTCACTTCCTTGCTATTACTGACATTACCTACCTACCTGTCAATATCCAGTTATAGCTTACATGACAACTTCACAGGCCTTTTGTATGCCTTTAGTGAGCACAGTGTCCCAATCAACCACAGGGACAGAGCTGCAGTGGTCATGTAGGAGAAGCAGAACATCACAGGCCTTGCAATGCTCAACCATGAAAATGGGGTAGCGGGAAAAACAGGTGCACGCAAACAAATTACAATGAACAGAAGGCTCAAACCAACGTTCATTGACAACCAATTCTTAACAAGGCAGCATTGGCAGATACTCATAACTCTTTCATGCTATGTCCTCCCAGGCACACCTGGTATCACTCACCCTTTTTGCCTTTAATTTTCCTTCTTTTATTCTTTCTTTCCAGACTTGGAATTTCAGGAGATGATCCCTCCTAAAAGTTAAAAACAGAACAGTATAAGTAAAACTTAAGTCTATGACAGGGCCCACTTCTTCAGATGACTGGAGTTTTGAGGTCTGTACATCATAAACTCAAAACTCCAGTCATCTGAAGAAGTGGGCTGTGCCAACGAAAGCTCATGATACCATCTACATGTTTTGTTAGTCTATAAAGTGTTACCAGACCATTTGTTGTTTTTTCTGTACAGACTAACTCACTACTCCCTGAAGCTTCTGAAAATTACACAAGTACATGAAAAAACATGAGATTCGCCCCCCCCCACTGCATAATTTTAAAAAAAGACAACCATTATTACAAAGGTGTCTATATTTTTAATGTTTAGCAGTAAAGCTAGGCATTACCAGTAAGCATGTTTCATGGTTTTTTAACAATCCAAATAGATCCTGAAGAATGAACAGCACTCAATTGATGACACTCATTTCCAGAGTCCAGAGGCCTACTCTAAAAGTTCTGGGCAGTGGTAGTTTTCTATTCTTTAAACCACAAGAAATCTAAAAATAACTACAAGTATCATGAAGGCATCTGTTACCCCACCTTATCTATTTTTTTTAAGTCAGTTAAAGCACACACTGAATCTAAGAGGACAAAAAATATTTGCAATAATATAGTATTGGATCTCTCCTGGGTCAAACCACCACAAAGGTCCTGTGAATACAATCCTTGCAGGACAGATGCCGTTCAAATGGGAAACAAGATATGCCAAGAATCAGTGTGTTTGGCCTGGCCAATATTAGAGTTTGACTATAGATATACATATATCAAGGTGTAAGATTTTACAACCCTAACATGGTTCTCCTTTCAGATATCTTTCCAAAAGAGGAATGACAACCAACTGGAGAAATATTTCTGTTGCAAATATCCTGATGACATATAGAACTATACTTACTCCAGTTGCTCTTCTTTTCTTTCCAATTCCCTGGTTGTCATTCTGCTCAGTACCAGATGTACAGCTACTATCTGTAGCTGCATCTACAGAGTTTGATCCTACAAGCACTGAAGCGCCATTTGAAGCCAAAATGTTTCCTTCCCCAGTGATCTCGAATACATTTTTGTTTTCAAGAAGCAGTATTCTAGATTCTGGGCACTCCTGATCTTGTTTTGTGGTAAACACTGTGAGGCTTGTAACATCAGAGGGAGTATGTAGGCTGTGTCTCCTTCCATTGATAGTTTCAGTTCTTTCAGACATGAATGGTGATGAGGGGAGGGAGGATGTCTCTTGTTTGAACTCAGTCACATTACCAGCACTTGATTTATATGCTGGTACTAAAAAGTGTGAATGGCAGGCTGGAATGATTTGCTTTTGCTCACTTTCCTTTGCTGTGGGTTGGTCACTGAAGAAGTCATAAACAGAAGCAGTCCTGTCCACAACACTGCTTTCAGAGAGGCTCCGTTTCCTAGCTGACCCAGATGCTGCTATGGAAATCCCTTCCCACTGGAATCCTTCTAGCCTGGACAGCTCAGGTTCTTCACCTAAATCAAGACCTTCCTGTTCGTTCTGGACAAGGGGTACCATCTCTATCCCAAACCTAAAAACAAAGAAACCCAAAACCACACTGTAAATATATAACAGAAGATAGATACTGAAAGAAATCTAGAGAAAAAATAATCTGTTTAAAATATATAGCCAGGTATACACTGAGGGCATGTCTACACTACAGCATTAATTCGAGTTAACTTAATTCGAAATAATTCGAATTATCTTAATTTGAATCAACTAACGCATCTACACACAAAATGCATTTCAAAACAGCATTTTGCTATTTGGAAATAGCACATCCACACTAAGTGGACTCTGAATCGGAGTTAAGGCTGGCTGGAACCAGTGCCAGCAGGGCACCAGGTCAGGACCTAATGTGTGGGGCTGCTGCCTGAGGCTATCTGAGGTCTGTGCTTAAAGGAACCCTACCCCCACCCCAGACAGACAGTTCTCAGGTTTCCCTATTTGTTTGTCTACCTCGATGAAGGACAGCAAAGCATTTGTGTCTCTGAATGCTCTGCTTGCCCTCACTTGGGACACCACAACACTCTGCCACAGGGATCCAGAACTGCTCCTGGGCACTCTGGTGCGTCTTGTGGACGCGTTGACATCAGCCTGGCTGCTCTTGCTGCAGGCTGCCATCTGGGACGTCCATTGGGAGACTGTCAGAATCCAGGGGGCTCTGCGGGAGAGCTTCCACCCCGAGGAGCACTAACAGTCTCCCTGGTCTGCCCCACTAGGGGCTTGTGCCCCATTCCTCCCTCACATCCTTCCACTTACCCCTCTCTAGCCCCCCCCTTCCTGATGTCAAATAAAATACACTTTTTTCCCCAAAAATAGAAACTCTGTTTATTTAACAAAACAGGAGGGGGGAGGGGAAATGAACCTCTGGAGAGACTAGGGAAAGGAGGCAGGAGACAGGAGAGGGTGGGAAAAGGGAGGGGGAAAACTGGGAGGAGGGAGCTGGAAGGGGGAAGCAAGGGGAGGAAGGAGGAGGGGAATCTCAGGGGTGGGGGTCTCGCCGGGCCACATCTCCCAGCACGGCGGGTGCGGGGGCCTCGGTGTCCCCAGGGGTATGGGGAGGAGGGTGTGGAGGTTGAGATGGGTGGTGTGGAGATTGAGGAAGCGGAAGAGGTGGGAGGGGGAGAAGGAGTGGGAGGAGGAACAGGAGCTGGGGGGGCAGCAGGCACTGGAGCGGCACGAGGCAGCATGCTCTACGCCAGGGTCTGCAGATGAATACAAATGGCATGACCCTGGGCAAGCAGATCCCTCCGGAACTCCCATTTTTCCTGTGCCTGCTGCTCTATGATGTGGGTCTGGGCTCGCAGGGCCACCAGGTGCTGCTTTCGGTACCCCTGCCGTGTTGCGGTGGTCTTGGGGAGCCCTCGGGTACGGGAGCATGTCCCAGGCAGGGTGGTGCGCCCTCTGCACGTGCAGCTGGTGCGGCTGTGGAGAAAGAAGGGGAGTGGTCAGTTCTCCCTGGGGACGCAGTGGATGATGCCCAGCGCCCCCTGCGAGGTGAGGACGACTGTGCCCTGCACCATCAGAGCCGACGTGCTTGCACAGAGGCCATGGTTGGGATGTCTGGCTCTCCCCGGGAGTGGGAGCTGCCCCAAGACTGTACCCATGCCCCTGTGCCGTGTATAGTGTGGCCGAGGTGGGGGGGAGATGTCCCCTACCTCTGTGTAGAGGGGGCATGTGAAGGGAGAGCATCCTGCTGGGTTACAGCCCCGGGTTCGGGAGCGTGTCAGG